GGAGTTCTGTGCTATGATGTGCTGCGGGGAAGGGAGAGACAACAAGGGTTGCTGCATAGAAAAGAGGTCAAAGAAAAGTAAAGGCTATCCCAGAGTGGGACATTCATTTACCTGCCTTAGCTGAAGAGTCAGGGCCACAAGTGGGACACGGCCTCCCATAGGTCGGCAAGCAGGGCCAGAAACATGCCTCCAGGATACAGGACTTGGGCCCTGCTGGCCTGTTTCCTACAGCATCTCTTTGGTCAGGCCAGTGTGCCTGCCAAAGGGTCATGTGCAGGCCCTTCTGGAGACAAAGGTCCTGTGAGCCACAAACCTAAAGAATGTTCTGTAACTAGCAGCCTGCCTCCCTCCCCACCCCCCACCACAGCCTTCCAAACAACTAAGCAGGGTCCTCTGAGGAAAGGCCTGTCGTTTGTGTCCTCCACACCTTTGCCACAGCCCAGCTACAGCTTTTGTCTCTTCGTCCTCCCACCTCCCTCCTCTTTGTTTTCTAGGTTCCTCACCCCAAATATCCCCTTTTCTGTCCCCTCAAAGAAACCTTTCAAAATGATAGCCCTTTCTATTCCTGCTCCTTTGAGATACAACCTCTCAGCTGGCAACATGAGAATAAAGGAGGTGGAAGGGGAATGCAGTCTCCACAGCAGTCCGAGACCTCAGGTGCTAGACCAGGAAGGGAACTTCAAGATTACCTAGTCCAACCCATCATTTTACAGAGGAAGCACCAAGGCCCAGAGAGAAGAAGAAACCCGTGCAAAATCACATAGCAAGGACCAGCATCCAGCCTCCAACTCCTCAGGGCAGCCCTCTGCCTACTTTCCACACCCCCAGTCCTCCCCGCCCCAACTCTACCACTTCCTGCATCCTAGCTCCCTTCTCTTTAACTTATTCCGTGGTTTCTCCAGACTCCAACTCCTGCCTCTACACCAACCTCAAGCCTCTCAGAGCACCCAAGAGAGGGTAGTCCCCTTTTTAAGGCCTACTCTTGGTGGAGCTGTGTGTGTATAAATTGCATTTAGAGAGATGATACAGACAGATATACAGAGGTCTCACTCCTCCAGGCCATGCTCATCTCTGTCTGCCCCAAGGACTTTATCAGGACCCACACACTCCCCTCTGGCCAGTCCTGTCCTTAGTTGCTCTTGGATTACAGTATCTTCCATGAGGTCAATTGGGTTCTGGAAGCTCGGCTGCTGTCTTGGCGGAGCCCCAGGCCTAGGGTGGAGGATGGCTGAGGGAGGAATCAGCAGCCTTCTCCAACTTGCTTCTCCCCAGGTTGTCATCAACCCCAACTATGAGGTTGCAGAATCTGACTACACCAACAACATCATGAAATGCAGGGCCCGCTACGACGGTCATCGCATCTGGATGTACAACTGCCACATAGGTAAGGCCCCTTCCTTACCAGGGCTGCCTCCACCCCTCCTCAGGCCTACCTTGCCCCTCCCCACAGCCCATCCTCCAGGAAGCAGGCAAGAGCTGCCCTACTTTCTCGAGGAACCAGAGGCAGCCTCCTAATTTGTGCAAAGAGCGTGGGGGGAATGGTGCCAGCATCTCATTTCCATGCTCAGGAATGAAGTTTTGGACACAGAGGCTGGGATGGTGACTGAATTTTCACAGCAAGCTCTGGTTAAGGGGAGAGAGACAGCCCAGAACAGACCCCAAAGCTATGTAAGGGCTGGAACTGAGGTCACCAACTCATTATGTTTGTGACCTCAAAATCATGGGCATCAGCAATTTATGCGTTCCATCTATCAGGTCTTCCTCTGTCAAAAACTAGAGGCTAGCAAACCACTTTTATTTCCAAATCTCCAATAAAGAAACCTTTTCCGTGGATTATATGACTCAGGGAACAAAAGGGAAAAGCAGAACTTTCTCTTCTGCAGGAAAAGTGATGGACCCCACTCTTGGTGAAGGTAAAAATGAAATGCACTGTATTTATTTGTTCATTCACTCAACTTTTACAGAGTACCTGATACGTGCCTGGTCCTAGAGAGGCTGAGCACCTAGTCCCTGCCCTGTGGCTCAGAGAGGCGGCCCCCAGCCAGCAGCCTGGTGGAAGGGAGCTTGAGAGCTCTCTGGGGCCAACTGCTCCAGCTTGGGCAGGGCCAAGTATCTGGTTTGCCAAACTCTTCTCCATTTCCCACCCCTCAGGTGGTTCCTACAGTGAAGAAACGGAAAAGAAGTTTGAACAATTCAATGGACTCATAACTAACCAGCTCTCCACAAGGTAGAGGATCATCAGAGATCACCACCTGTCCTCAGGCCACGCTGCATCTTCCCTGGGACCTTCCCCAACAGCTGCAGTCCGCCCAACCAGCCGCCACATTCCCCCTCGCTCGCCGAGCTCCCACCCCGTCTCGACCCCCTGCAGTCATGTCCAACCTCCGGAGGAAGGGGGTGCTCCTGCCTTTGGCTGGGTGCTGCTGCCTGATGTTCAGAGCCTGGAAAACTCTGGGGGCTGTGGCTGGGCTCGTCCACAGGGATGTGGGGCAGCACCACAGGCACCAAGAGCCAGTCTGGCCCAGGACCCCTGGTACACAGTTCCAGCCACTGACTGGTTGGAATCAGCATGTCCCATCGAAGCCACAGTCCATCCTGAATCTGACACTACCAGCTCACCAGACAGTAACATCTACGGGGCCATTTTCTTAAGTTACATGTTGGCAGATGTGAGCTTATCACATTATTACCCCCGTGGTGGTCAGGCTGAACCCCACATTTCCTCCTCATAGGTCTTTTCCAGCAAACTTGAATATCTCAACCTCTCTTCCAATTAAACAAAGTACCTGTACTCTAGTGTATCATAGCCACACGTATAATGTTGCCACATGATTTCCCATTAGGTCAGTTCAGCCTTGGTGCTTCTCCCCTTGCCCTCTTATTTTTAAAGATACCATTATTATATTTTCACAGACTTTGAAACACAAAGTAATTTAGTGGCATTTCATAGGGGTGGATTAACCAGTAAGCACAGTATGCGCTGGCTTACAGTAAGAAAGTTACGCATGGGCTTGTGTGAAATGGTACACTACAGATTAGTAAGTAAGCACAATTAAACTCTTGTGTACCTTGCTTATTGGGTAATCCGTCTTGGGGCATATAGGCCTTTGTAAGTATGGCTCAAAAGAAAAACCAACGCACCTGTGTAAGTGACTTGTCTTTCTGTTGTTTCAATTCTGTGGGTAACGGATTCAACGGTGCTATAACCAAGGTCAGGGTGATGAGGACACTCAGCAAATGCTGTGTGTCATCACAGACACTTACACATACTTGAAAATTCAAATAAAAGATTTATGATATGCATCTTGTGTTTCATTTGAACCACTGTACCTAGCCAATGAGTAGCAGGGTTCCTATGTTCTATTAGCAACTGCCCAGCTTCTGATACCCTTTGTCAGCTTATGGTTTTACCCTAAGGAGAGCTGGGCTCCTAAGTCCCGTACAGTGAGTGTAGCCACCAGAAGAAAAAAAAAAAACCCATTGCAGTCAAGTTGATTCTGACTCATGGTGACCCATGTGTTACAGAGTAGAAGCCCCATAGAGTTTTCTTGGCTGTAATCTTCACAGAAGCCGATCTCCAAGCCTTTCTTCCACGGTGCCACTGGTTCAAGCCATCAACCTTTAGGTTAGTTGTGTGCTGTCAAGTCGATTCTAACTCATAGCAACCCTATATGACAGAGATGAACTGCCTCACAGGGTTTCCTAGGCTGTAATCTTTATAGAAGCAGATTGCCAGGTCTTTTCTCATGAGCACAAACTATTTGTGCCACCCAGGGACCCAGTGTGGCCACAGGGGGCCTCATTCAATACAGACTACAAAAGGAGCAACTCCTGCCCTCTGAGAGCAGTCTAAGGAGATGACAAAAAAACAACACAAACACAACAGTAATAACCTTTCTAGAACCATGGTTTTTTAAAGAAACTTGTCGGAGGGTGGGGAGAGGTTAATCCTGTCTACCTCTCTTCTTTCCAGGACCCTTGGGGAGAGAAATCAGGATGGAATACTCTAACTCTGACCTATAGATGGGATATTTAGTGTTCCCAAGAAGCCTAGGACAAAGGCCACATTACCACCTACAAGAGCTCTACAAGAGCGTGGACGCCCTCAGCAGGCTTCTTCCTAACAGTAGCTGTGTTAGGACCAGACGGGACATCTGCACTGAGACAATCACAGAGGTTTCCTAAAAAGGCACCAAGAAGGGCTCTGACGGAAGGGGGTGGTGACAAAGAATGTAAAAGTCCCCAGCAGGGAGAGTGGAGGGCCCAGAAGCAGAGCCGTTCTCCCCAAGACAAAAGGGTCCCCACTTGCATTAAGAGCATGCTAAACCATACACCATATACCCGTGTACCCACTGCCATCGAGTTGATTCCGACTCATAGTGACCTTATAGGACAGAGTAGACTGCCCCATAGGGTTTCCACGGAGTGACTGGTGGATTCAAACTGCCAATCTTCTGGTTAGCAGCCAAGCTCTTAACCACTGAGCCACAAGAGCATGCTAGGGCCCCACAAACCAGAGGGGCCTGCAGTGACCTCAAAGTGCCAGTCAGAGCCACCTCAGCACGAACTCTACCCAAACCAGATGAGTGCACTGTAACCCTGCCCCACAGAAGTGTGAGGAATCAAACGGCACGCATTTCAGATTCACCTCTTGGCTTTGTTCATGTTTATTTCTGCAAGGAGCCCTTCTGTAACCAGTACTGACAGGTAACGCTAGGACCAGCCCAAAAGGTTAGGGCCATTAGCCCACAGCTGCTGTGCAGCACAGGACAGCAGGCTGGGATACCCAAGTTGTTGGGGGAGACTGGGCAGGTGTCACAGAAGAGGTGCAACCGACACCCAAGAAACTGGGCAGGTTCTGTGCAAAAAATGACCAACCAAGCTCCTAGAACGAGCTATTTCTTCAGCAGCCCCAGGCTAAACTAGATTCGACAGCACCCCCTAGTGTCCCACGGCAGACCATCACACTCTGAAGTAATCACATTATAACAACTTTGAAGTTTTTATTTTTCCTCAACTTCTAGAAGTAGACCAAACTAAAGCCCACCATGCCCCACAGTGAGGTTCCAACAATCATCCCGGCCTGCGCAGGGCTGTTGTGGTGTCTGTAAAGGCTTTTGGTGTTAGTGCCAAGTTAGTGCCTGGGGCGTGGGTCCAGGCTTGTGGGGCTTGCTGCCTCAGGACAGGAGATTCTCAACCCCAGGCCGCTCTTTCTTTTTGTGTTGGAGCCCCAGGGCCCGGGCCACCAGCCTCCGGGCCACCGCCGTATTTGTCTGTGGTCTCTCCTTTGCCAGCTGCAGGAGCTCTAAAAGGAAAGCCCCATGGGACGGGGATGTGAATTCAAGGCCTTTGCTGCGGCCATCAGCCAACCTTTAACGTTATGTGTGTGGGGCCATGGTGGGACCAGACGCTAGTGAGAGGGGGCCCAATGGGGGCCTCCAAGCTTTGCCTGCTCCTGACTCCCTGTGGAACCTGACCCAATCCTCTCACCTTTTCTGCACCCTTGTTGCTCCATCGGTAAAAGGGAAGTGGGGAGAGGTTAACCCTGTCCACCTCCCTGCTTTCTAGGGTCTTCTGCAAGGGAAATTAAATCAGAATGGGACCCTAGAACTCTGAGCCAGAGAGAGGATATTTATCGTTGCCAGCAAGCCTGGGACAAAGGCCGAGTTACCATCCACAGGAGTGTGGATGCCCTCCGCAGCCACAGAAAACTGGCCTCTGAAAACATCTTTCATGTTCTTTGGAAGGAGAAGAGGGAAGGGGAAGAAACTAACACTTACTTGGCCCCTTGTGTACCCATCACCATCCCAGGCAGGTCTCTCATGCTATTTCATCCAATCCTCCCATCTAGTCTTTCACATCTGCTTATTTTACAATAAAGAAACCAACTCACAGACATTAAGTGACCTGCTCAAGGTCAATTTAAATAAGTGACAGAGCCAGGACCCTACCCAGGGCTAACCCCAAGGCCCAAGCTCCTTTCACTCTACTGCCCCTGGCCCTATAGAAAAAAGGCCAAACTTTTCCCTGAGCAATACCCAGAGGGGGTTTGCGGGAAAGCACCACCAGAAACAGCGGCTGTAAACACCATTCCCTGAAGGGCCCTCATTCCTGGCAGCCCCCAGGCCCTCTGGGGAGTGGGACTGGCTGCAGCCAGGGGTCCCCAAGAGCAAAGACATGTGGAAGTGGGGAATGAATCAGAAGTGGAAGACTCACCATGCCCAAACTAAACCTGCTTACACACTTACACCCTTCTCAGCCACAACCCCAGCCTCCTTACTTGGCCTCTGCAAGGCTTTGAGCTTTGACTGCTTGCTTCCCTGTGTGAGGGGCCGGATCTTGAGCATTGAGAAATCCCTGGACAGGGCTTCAGCAGCTATGGAAAGAAAGCAGATCTGAAGATATCCTCTTCTGCATGAGGCCCCCTCAGGACCTGGGAGCACAGGTGTCACCCAAAACATGCAGCCCATTCATGCCTGGGGACAGGGCTGCTCTGACATCATTCGGGCTGGGCCAGAGACACCACTACACACTGCTCTTGTCCCCCAGAGCCTGCAGGGGGCGCTCGTGCTCTTAGATGAGAAAGCTTCTGCAGGCCCCCGTCCCCATGCCCCGGCCTGTGTTGTTGGTTACGGGCCACACCAGTGAGGCTACACTTCTGACACCAGCAGAGGCAGCTCCTTGTCTTCAGAATCCCTGGACTTTACAGTCTATCTCTGTTCACCACACAAGCCCCTCAGGGAGCAGGCACTCACTGTCCTGAGTTATGCTACACAGTGAGGCCTGCAGGGTGGCACTCAGGCTACTGACAGAACACTGCATGTCAGAGTAGCAACAGGCCCGGGCCCCACGCACTCACCGCTTTATAAATGAGGAACCTGAAGTCAGGGCAGTTTGTGGCAGAGCCAACAAGACAGCCAAGGCCCATCCCTCCTGGTACTCCTTCTTCCCACAGCACTGGGCAGCCTCTGACCTCCTCTCCTTCCCTTCCTTTCAGTGGGCTCCCTCTGGAGTTCGAGCTCCCACCAGACCCCATTCCCCCTACTCCCTAAATACTGCCTCCCACTTCTCTGCAACTTCAGGCCCTCTGGAGGACCAGACCCACACCAGCCAGGGCTGCCCCCAGCTCTGGTGTTCAGAAGGTTGTGGTTCTAAGAAGCCAAGTAACACAAAGGTGTTACTATACACCCGAGGTGAGCAGTGATGTGGCAGGGGCAGCAGACCCTGGGCAGCCCAGGAAAAGTGGCTGGGCGGCAGGGCGGGGACGGACAGGACACTGGCTTTACAGTCAGGAGGCCTGGGTGGTGTCCTTGGCTTTCACACAGAGAGGCTCCATAACCTTGAACAGACCACTGATGTTCTAGGAAGCTCAGTCTCCTCATCTGTAAAATGGGGGTGATCTGGCCTATGTCTTGAAGTCATCATGAAAACTGAATGAGAATGCATTAGTCTGAACCACAATCTCAGTGTCTGAATGATTTTGACCCATAAAAACGGCCCTTTTGTATGGTTTAATTTAATATGTGGAAATAACCAGGGATTGGCCCATGACAAGTGCTAAATGTCACCTAAATCCGTCCCTTTAAACTGAAGGCATGAACGTGAATAAGAAAGGCCAAAGATTTATTACTGTGAGCTTCCAGGGCTACACCTCTCTGCTCCCACTGGGACTTCAGGACAAGGCTGGCTGGGAGCAGAGCCCCGTGAGCCGGCCTGATCAAGTTAGCCTGCACGCTGGAGACAGGCTATCCTCGTACAGGGAAACAGATCCTCCCTGGGTGCCAAGGGCCCATCCTCTCTCAGTGGTGATCAGAGAAAGGGTACATTACCTGCGGCCAGGCAGGGAAAGATGCCGAGAGCATGAGTGTCATCCACCCACTGGATCTTGAGGCCCTTCTCTCTGTGCGGGGAGAGGAAACTGAGTGGTTATGACAGCAAATGGCCAAGCACTTTCCTCTTAGAATCCTAAGGGGAAGTTCCCTCCCGTCTCCAACCCTCAAACACTACAAGTCCAAGACAAGTTCCAGCCTCCTCGAGAGAAGGAGACAACCAGTTGCTGCGAACTTCCTCTGAAAACCATAGTTTGCTTCAGAAAGACAAATGTCACTCCTGTTAGCATGTCATGTGGGTCCCTGATTCCTAGGACTAAAGAAGCTGGGACTCAAAGGGCTTGTACGGCATGATGCCAAGGATGAAGGGGCTCCTCATAGGCATGCCCACCGCCAGGCCAAGGGCGTGGGGTCTGAGACTGCAGACAAAGGGTTTATGTAGTGGTGGGAAAAGGGGATAGGACCAAAATAAGAGTATGAGTGTTACTGCTCCTGGTAAACTTTTACTCCTATTGCTCAGCAAGGCATCAATGACTCTGGGGCCCATGATAGGCCAGAAGCAGCTCAGGGTCTCCCACTTAGCTCCTTTGGGGGCACAGCTCTCCCTGGCTGAGGAAGTCACTGGAGTCCCCAGTCCAGCCACACCTTCAGGGGCAGACAGAAGAACTCCTCATGCCCCACCCAGCTGCCCCTCCAGTTTTCCCTCAGCTGAGATTTAGGGAGGGATAGGAAAGGCTGTTTGGGAAACAGAGTCAGAAGAGAGAGCCAGGAAGAGAGGGTTTTAAAAATCTAAGCAGGAAGAGCAGGGGAAATGGAGAAAGAAAAAAGAGAATGAAAAAAAAAAAGAAAGAAACAAAGAGACAAGGCAGGAGATTAGAGTCAAGGGAATTTGGAGAAACAGAGAAGGGCAGTCTTGTCTCTCAATCCATTCCTGCCAGCTCCCATTGCCATACTGTCTCAGCCCCACTGAGCTGCTCAAGCCGAGTTCACCCCAGAAGTAGCTCCAGGCAGAGATGGCCCTGTCTGCCACATGACTGACTGGCTGGGCTGCAGAGCAAGGGGAGGTAAGTGGGCTACCCACCATCGCCATGAGATCCAGACTTCCCCTGGGTCCTGGAAGGCGTGTGTGCAAGCAGGAGGGCAGGACAGAGGTTGCTGCTGTGACAGCAAGACCAGGTCGAGGGCCTTGCGAACATCCACAACCAAAAAAGCAGCTCTCCTCTTCCCTACGGTCATGGCCAGCAGGCTGAACTGCCCAGGTGCACGGAGCCCAGAGCAAGCACGTCCACTTGCTGCCTTTCTTTCTAGATCACTGGGCAGGGGAGGGGGTGAGGTAGGTGGAGAGAGGGAAGGCAAGTGTCCCCAACCCCAAAAAGATCTTCTAGCTCCTCTCCAAAGGCAAGCACCCCACCTCTGCTGCCCTGCCCTCCCACCCCGAAGCGCTGCCAGCACTCACTGGAACTCAGAAAATGCTGCCAATAGGTCCTCTGTCTTGAGTGCTGGTTCAAAGCCGTAGATCTCCACCACATGGCCCAGGTCCTTCTCACCAGGCAGCTCCTCTACAAAGGAGGACGTGTCCACATAGATCTTCTCTACTTCGATCTCCTTCTCAGTCAAGTTGTCTGTTATCTGGGAGAGATCAGACCCTTCAGCAAGGGGAGCTCTGACACAAGGGGCTCCGAACAATTGGTTCCGAAACCACACACGAAAGTTCTGTAGGCTCCTGAGTTGGAGGGAAGGAGAGTCAAGGGTGGCTTTCCATGGGAGCTCTACCTGGCAGGGACCTGGGAAATGGTGGCAGACTGAACTGGGAGATCAAGAAGAGTGAGGGAACTTACTTGTATGGAGTCCCCACTGGGTGATTAGCACTTACATACGTTATATTTCATATAATCCTCCAAACTATATATATTCATTTTACAGATGGGTAAACTGATGGTCTATAAGTGATTTGCCCAAAGTTACACAGTCAGTAAGAGCCAGAGCTGAGCAAGTTCAGGATCTTTTCTCCCCTTATTAATGATATTAAGCAAGTCTTGCTAGTATCCATTCCTCATCCATAAAATAGCAATAAAATGTCTGCCCTCCCAACTTAACACCCAAGCCAGTCTCAGGGGCAGACACACAGTGCTGAGGAGATCAGATTTGCATGACAAATCTTGAAGCAGAAAAGTAATTTTCATGACCGACATTTGTCCAGGTTGTCCCTGACTTACAACGTGTTTAAGTTACAACAAAATGCACTTACGACCGTCTTTTTTATTTTGTACATCTTATCGTTAGTAATGTGTACTACATGCAATGTTGCAGCAAGTATCATTCCCATGCCAATCGCCAAAGACAAATAAAGATCGGATTTATTGATACTGATAATAAAAGGTAATAATAATGAAAACTAAAAAAAGAGGTTCTGACTTCCGTTAGAACCAACTTATGATGGAGTCATCAAAACAGAACCCCAACATAAGTCGCGGACTACCTGTAGTACCCTATGAAGCACTTCCACATACATTCTCTCTGTTACCTTGTGAAGTATGTATGTAGGTACTATTATTATTAGCTGTTTTTTTTCAGTGAGGAAGCTATGAATCAGAAAAGCAAAATGACTTGTCCATAGTCAAACAGCTCCTAAATACTTGCTTTGGGACCCAAATCCACAAATCCACACCTCCTGACTCCATATCCTGGGTCTCTTTCTTCTCCACTGTGCACGTCCTGAATCCTTCAGGCAAAGTCCACACGTTCCTCCCCTACGTTTCCTAACGGATCCCTGCCCACCACGGCGCATCCCCACCCCTCCACACCATGACCCTTTGTCCCCATCCACCCACAGCTACACCCACCTCACTTCCGCCCTCCCTTTTCCGGGCTTAAGAGCCTCATCACCTCCTGCAGCAGCTCACTGTAATCGTCCTCTGAGCAGCTGCCACGACCCTCCTCTTCCACCTCTTCCTCCTCCTCCTCCTCTGCCACCATGCTCTTCTCCAGCTGACTCTCATTCCCCTCTGCCAGGTTCAGCTGCAGGCTAGACTCAAGCTGTTTGGCTACCTCCAACCCATCTCCTTCTCCTGAGTGACTCTCAGGCCCTGGGGCCTCATTGCCAACTGGGTCCAGCAGTGGCTCATTCTCACAACTCTGGCCTGAGCCTGTTAGGTCCTCTGTTGCTTGGGCCATCAACACAGGGAGTCCCTGATCAGAGTTGGGGTCCCCAGCACCAACATCTCCAGGCTCTTTCAGGACACAGTCAGCTGGAGCCTCTCCCTTGAGGCCTGGGGCATGGGTTGGTGCCCCTTCTTCCTGCCTTCGCAGCACCCGGGGCACATACAAAGCCTGATCTGGCTTGCGTCCACGATGCCAACGGCCAGCCCGTGCCCCTCGGGGACCAGCAGCTGCTCCCTGGTTCGAGTTGGGCCGAGAACCACGGTGCTTGCCAGGATGGGAGGCAGGAGGGCGGCAGGGGCCAGAGAGGCCATCTGAATTGGGCAGCCTGGAGCAAGAGCAAGGGGAGAAAATTAGAGTGCTGTTTAGGCCCAAAGGAAAATGGTTTACTGGAGCCATCTCTCATTCAGGCGTGAGGCTCTCAGGTCAGCATTAAGACAAAACCAAAGCCAAAATGACCCACGAAAATCCTTTAGAAAAGCATCGTGTTGGAGGCTGAATGCCATCTCTCAGTAAGTCCAAAGCAGCTAGTTCTCGCTCCCCACCTTCCTTAGTTATAAACTGAATTAGAGATAGCCAAATCTTTGGCTAAGCACCAGGAGAGATAAATGCTTACGTTTAGGGACTATATTATTAGGAAAACATGTAATTTTAAACACTAGGATCATAGTCATTATGATAAGATGCTCATCCTGCAAGATCCACATGGAAAGTGAGAGGACTGAAGATCAGCAGATCTGCTGCTACCATTCCATGCTCTCTCTGGGCACAAGCTCCCTGAGAGGAATGTTGGGCAGACTCACCCTTGCTACTTAAATGCTCTCCCTTGCTCTCTTTTCTACTCAAGGTGTATAGCTGAATGTGAGTCAGGTGAATGCCACAGGCAATGCACGTCTACTCCACTGCTGAAGCAAAAGGCAACACTCACTTTAAGCAACTAGGCTAGGAATAGAGGAAGCAGCCTAGGGGTCCCAGCCCTGGTTTCTGACAAACTTTTCGCTCCCAGGGGCTGATGAGCTGACCCCAACCACCCATAATGAATGGCTAAGGGCCCTCCAAGGTGATGGGATACACACCTGATGTCCAGGTGACAGATGACTGTCCTCCTCCTCCAGCCCTCCCCAACAGAGAAGCTGCTCAAGAGATCAAAATTCTCTGCTGTTCTATGGATCAGGTACCGGAGGCGACTGGAGAGTGGGGGGAAAAGAAGTACCCTGGAAAGGGATCAGAAAGAGTGCTGAGCAGGGGCAAAAGGTCCAGCCCCTAGGGCCTAACCCCTACCAGGTCCACCCCCAGATTAAAGGTGACTTAACACTAGCTCCTTTTACCCCCTTGGGTCTCAGACTAACTCCAAAGGCCCTGGGCATAGTGGTTATCACAGCAAGGATTCACTGGGCTGGCTCCCTTCAGTCTCCAGGTGGTTGGGTACCAGCATCTGTCACTTATCCCTACAACAACATGAGTAGTATTTTATTTATGAGAAAACAGAGATCCAGAAAGATGAAATAACTTGCTCAAAGTTACAAAGATAGTAAATTCTAGATTCTTGCTTTGAGCAGAGGTGGGTCTGATCCCAAAGCCTGCTCTGTATTTTTTTTCAAGCATACTTAGAATTACCAAGGAAAGATGCAGTTGGGAGAGGCCAGAGGGATGTACTAAGACCAAAGGCCAGGGTGTGAGCCAGCTGCGAGCCAGTTACGTCGGGAGCATTACTGGCGAGGAGGGCCTAGGTGGCTCCAGGAGAACCCGGCCCTTCCTAGCAGCAAAGCAGGCACAGGCAGCCGCAACCTGTGCCTCACACCGCCCTCACACCAGCTTACTTTGACAGCTGCTTCTGCAGCAGGAAGCGGTCCAGCTCCTCCTGAATGCGGTGGACAAAGTCATTTTCAGCTGCAGAGAGGAAAACACCATCCAAACAAAGGGCCAGGGTGACAGATGGGAGAGCCTGTGGGAAGACCGACACAGGGCCCAGGATCAGCACACAGATCCAGGGCCCAACCACAACCTGACAATGTCAGTGCTAAAAAGGTCTTGGAGAACATCTGGTCCAACGTCTATTCCTTTCCAAGTGAGGAAACGAGCTCAGAGGAGAGAAAGTGCCTTGCCCAGGGTCCCCCAGGCAAGTCAATAGAAGGAAAAGGGAGCGATCTCCTGACCCCTACTTCTGTGCTCTCTCCGCTGCACCGTCAAGTCTAATGTTAAGGGATGGTATCAGACCCTGGGGGCTCACGGGCTCTCAAGCTGTCGCCTGGCGCGGTGGGGAGTAAGGGTGACTACCTCGCACCGCCCGCCGCACGGGCGGGGGCAGGAACCCGGGGTCCTAGAGGCTCGGCGCACCGACGAGGAGGACCCGTCCGGGAGGGCTCCCCTGCCGGGGGGCAGGGGTAGGACGGGGTTCCGGGCGGGGCTGCCTTGGGCCTGCTCCGCGTGGGCCGAACGCCCCGCAAGGGAGAGGTGACGGCCTGCGGCCAGCGGGCGGACTGCGGCCGAGTCACGCCACCCCAGCCTCGGAGCGACAGGGGCCTGGGCTGGCGTGGAGCCAGACCCGGAGCCGGGAGGTCTTATCCCTCAGGCCGCCCGCCGGCCTCCGGGCCCACTCACCTCGACCGCACCGCCCTGTCGCCGCTACTCTAAAGATCCCCAGAAGCCTGCGCGCCCCCGCGCTCCCGAGGAAAGACCCGGCCCTCGGCGGAGGCGCACCGCCACCGCGTGGACTGGGGGAGGCATCGCAAGGACAGCTTAGAAATTGAAGAGGGAGTGTTCTTGTCGTCTCCTTTTGGGAGCCAGCGCCTATCACTTATCCCCACAAGGACATGGTAAGTATTTTATTCTGAGAAAACGGTGACCAGAAAGACAAAATAACTTGCCCAAAGTTACAAAGATAGTAAATTCTAGATTCTTGCTTTGAGAGGAAGTGGATCTGATTCCAAAGCCATCTCTTTTACCGTGACCACATACTCTCTCCTAATATCAATTACGCTCAGCAAACAATTTTGAGTGGCTACTATATGCTAGGTAGCTGAGGTATCAGATTTTCCGGTCCATTAGTCCCCTCCGTAGGGTCATAACAGAGGAATAAAAAGGAAGAAAGTTTATAAGAACACCCTTTGCCCATCACTGCCCTTCCTTCTCCCCATTGATGTATCCCACAGAGAGGTCAACCACACACCAAGGGGTCATTGACAAGGGGTATGAGCCTTGTAGGTAACTGGACTGGGTAGCCACTAGCACAGTGATTTTCAGGATATCAAATTATATTACCCTGCTCCATACAGAAATAACTTCAGCACTTACCTTAAAGAGGGCTTGAATTTCTTACCATCAGACAGCCTGTGGGATAGGCTATTATAATCTAGGAGACCAGGGTTGAAATCCTCTGTCCCTGAAAGGTGTTAAACTGTAAGCCTTTGATCATCCTGAATCCAGAAGCCCATAGCAAAGAAGGACCCTGAACTAACAGCACTTAAGACGTGTTTTGGTACAAAGTGGGACATTCTGAGTGAACCCTACCAGTCGAGTATGAGCGGGGATGAGGGGAGAGGAACTAAATGAGAGAAGGGGCTTAGGAAAGGAGAAGTGAAGAAAATTAAGATGTATTTTGCTCTTTTATAATTTTTCCCAGAGTACTTCTAAAAATGTTGGTGGTATTATACCACATTTACAAAAACAATCTTCCCAGATTTCTACCAAAAGAATAAAAAGCACCTAGAATAAGGAATAAAGACAAGGAGCCCTGAGGGCATAATGGTTAAGCGCTCAGTTGCTAACTGAAAGGCTGACAATTCAAAACCTCCCCCACCCAATGGCTCAGCAAGAGAAAAGACCTGGTGATACGCTCCCATAAAGATTACAGCCTAGGAAACCCTATTGAGCAATGGTGGCACACAACAACAAGAGAATAAAGACAAAACCAGGTGCAAAGAGAAACTGGGGAGCCAAGTCACAAGTCTCTTTTCAAAGCATGGCTGCAAGGAGAGATCCTGAAACATAACAGATCCTCATGACTCCACCTGAAGGGACATCCAGCCCCTTTGGCTGGAGTCACCATAATTAAACTTCTGAAAACTAAAGGCAAAGAAAAACTTTTGAAAGCAGCCAGAAAAAAAACAATACCTTACCTATACAGGAAAGTCAATTCAAATGACACCAGATTTCTTATCGGAAACCATAAGGCCAGAAAGAAGTGGCAAAACATTTTTCAAGCGCTCAAAAAAAAAAAAAGAAAAAGGAACTGTCAACCCAGATTCTATATCCAGTGAAAATACCATTCACAAATGAAGTGAAAATCAAGACATTCTCAGATGAAAGAAAACTAAGAATCTGTCACCAGTTGCCCTAGCCTAAAAAATAGCGAAAGGAAGTTCTCTAAATAGAAAGGAAACAATAAAGGAAAGAATCTTAGAATATCAAGAAGGAAGACCACAGTTAACCAAAACTATCGGAAAATACAGTAGATTTCCTTCTTCTTTTGAGTCTTCTAAATTATATTTGACTGTTGAAACAAAAATTATAACACTGTCTGATGTGGTTCAAAACATATGTAGAAATATTTAAGACAATTATAAATAGGGGAGGATAAAGGAACATAAAGGGAGTTTTACCACTCAAACTTATAAAATAACTGTACCAGTAGATTGTGATAAGTTACGTGATACCCAGAACCACCACTAAAACAGCCATACAAAAAGATACATTCAAAAACACTATAGATAATCCAAAACAGAATTCTTAAAAATGTCCAAGTAAACCACAGGAAGCTAGGAAAAAGAAAACAGAGAACAAAAACCAAAAAAATAAAACGGCAGACTTATGCCCTAAAATATCTATAATTACACTAAATAGTAAGGGTCTAATTATTGTTGTTGTTAGGTGCTATTGAGTCAGTTCTGACTCACAGCAACCCTATGTACAACAGAACAAAACACTGCCTGGTCCTGTGCCATGTCCACAATTGTTGTTATGCTTGAGCCCATTGTTGCAGCCACTATGTCAATCCATCTCGTTGAGGGTCTTCCTCTTCTTTGCTGACCCTCTACTTTACTAAGCATGACATCCCTCTCCAGGGACTGATCCCTCCTGACAACATGTCCAAAGTATGTAAGACACAGTCTCGCCATCCTTGCTTCTAAGGAGCATTCTGGTTGTACTTCTTCCAAGACAGATTTGTTTGTTCTTTTGGCAGCCGACGGTATATTCAATAGTCTTCGCCAACACTACAATTCAAAGGCACTGATTCTTCTTCAGTCTTCCTTATTCATTGTCCAGCTTTTGCATGCATATGATACGACTGAAAATACCATGGCTTGGGTCAGGCACATCTTAGTCTTCAAGGTGACATCTTTGCTTTTCAACACTTTAAAGAGGTCTTTTGCAGCAGATCTCTTGACTGCTGCTTCCATGGGTGTTGATTGTGGAT